AATCAGATCTCCTTGCCCCCAACTATTGAGAAGCTTCAAAACGGAACTTCGACAACATCTTTCTCAAAGCAGAAAGGCTACAGTAATGCCCTTGTTTCTGCCTTCCTGGCCTAATGCAACTCTGCATCCCCCCTCTACCTTGCTAAGAGTTTCCAAAGCCTCAAATTCCCCTTTTATTATTTTACAGAATTATATGCCAACTCTCTGTCTACAATCTCCTTTCTTATCCTTTACTTTCTAGCCACAGCTAGTAAACTCACTTACAGCTTCTAAGCTTTGCTTTATAATTCATATCAGGAACTACCAGCAAAAAGCATCAGACTTGCTAGTAAGGGCTGGTACTTTCTGCCTTGCCCCTCTGCTGCACTTGCAACAGCTGCAGGGGAGGTTTTTCGCCTGGATCAACCTTGCTTTAAGTTAACAGTAAATACCAGGGCACTATCTGATAAAATTCATGCCCTAACATTCAACTGACTTCAAAACCTGATGAAAACACTGGGAATGGAGTGCTAATAAACAGTGGGAGGTGAAAAACAACAACAACAAATGGTAAAGGAAGAGAGAGGGTGGGAGCAGGGAGTGGCAATGTGGGAAGCCAAGACAAGCTCCCATGTAGTAAAACTCAACAGGAGCAGTGATACAAGCAAGCAGTTCTGCTCCCCAAATCAAGAAACTCTCTCTCAAAAATTCAGCTAAATGCAAAGACTGGCACTATAGTTTGCAACCAACTGGAGATGAATAAGTATTACTATCTCCAACGTAAATAGACACAGTGAACCAAAAATGAAACGGGGACTTCACGTGCTTCCCAATGAGCTCTTTAGAAGATAGGAATGTGTGCCTAGGTCACACCTGATAACTGATGTATTTGGGTCTTCATTTCAATTAAACACAGTTTGGTTATGCAAAAAGAGATAAATTCAATCATGTTATAGAACTGGATCACCTTGAAACAATGCACATCATGTCTTCTTATTAGTCTTCTACTGTGAGAAGCCTATTTTGATTTTAAGACCTATCACTTTTGACTAATTACGGCCTATTTAAGATTTGTATCTTCCGACAATAAAGAGTTGATGATTTAAATGCACATGAAGCACCCTTGGTACAACCCAGAACACCCCACAAGTCCTAGCACAACATGCAGCCACGTGCACTAAGCAAGCAACCTCAAGCTGAAGTTGGGCACAATTAAACAGCTTGTATTGGCAAATCTTTCTAGCTATTGCCGATTAGCTCTGTTGTGCAAGATTTTTAAAAGCAGACTTTGGTAATAATTTTATTTCCTCTAGCTAGCTTTGAACTGAAGGAAAAAACCCTGAAAGAACGAGAACTCAATTGGCCTCTAGCTGCCTGGTAAATGCTTTAATAAGAAAGCCCAATGACCTACATTCACAGGCTTCTCTACTTAAAAACTATTACAAAACCCTACATGAAGTCTGGCCATGTTTAAAAGTTTTCCACTAGCAAGCAGCAGTATCCTGTTAAAGAAATAGGAAAACAAGTTATTGTCTTTAGCAGTGATGCTATTAATTAATTCTCTCAATAGTATTTTATAATGTGTGGTCCTAAGCATTCCAGACTAAGTTACTCATATTGCATAAAAAGACACCAAAACCTTTTCCTTTCAGAAAGGATGTTAACAGAAACAGGACCTCTTGTATACTCACAAACAATGCTGCAAAACTGAATTAATAACAGGCTGCTTCTCTGAGAGGCTTTCGATACCTGACAGAAATTCGTTAGCATTCTGCAACTCCATCTAAATCCAACCTATCCAATCCAATGAATACAGTTTATTCCTGACCCAGCTAACAACAATGACCAAAATATTTCTTTATACAGAGGCTTTCAGTCTACTGGTTAGATAGCCTGAAATAAAGTTCATTAAATTGTTCTGAAAAAGAAAATATTATTAAGCCCAACCTTAACTGTAATAAAACACATATGTGAGCATCAGATGCAACTAATTTGAAAGATGAATGGAAACATCAAGCTAGTTTTTCACTGTACACCCACATAGCTGGAGTGGTCTGACACATTCAGCTTTAGTAGTTACCAAACACATAACAAATAATGCAAGTTCAGAAAAACTTCCTAGTACAAAAAAGAAGAATCCTTTAAATAGTGTGTTATAGCTAAATATAACTGCTGCCCTAGCAGCAGTCATAATAAACAGTTTACGGTCACAAAAACTACAGAGGAAAAGGAAGAGAAAGGGAAGCAATTGGAAAAAAGAAAAACTTCACGTGCTCAGGAAATCTAACCGCCCATGGTACCTTTAGGAATACAAGTCTCTACAGCTAGTGCTGATATCACGGTATGCTGTAAGTACCTAAAGTTGTTAGGTGACAGTAGAAGTATCAAATTGAGCTGTATAATCAAGACCCATTAAAAAAAAATCCCACTCCTCAAAGAAGAAAATTCTTTTTTCTCTTTATTTAATAAAATCCTTCACATTCCAGATGTAGAAAAAATAGGTGCACATTAAATCCCTGTCTTTCAGCTTGCCTGAAAAGATACTACAAACGAGGAGGCCTAAAAGAAGGTTTTATTTCTGTGAGGAGCACAGCAAGAACATGGGTAAAAAGCTAGCATCACATTAACAAGGAAGCACAAAGAGGGGTCTGATTTGCTGGGACCGAATTGTGAAGGGACCACACAGTCATCTCCAAGTGTATAAATCTCACATCCCTCTGCAGCACTCATTTGGTAGCTCTAAGTGAACACTTAAGCTGAGCAAGCTACAGAACACCTCTCTATGCCAACATGACTAAAACAGACAGGCTTAAGGAAGCAGCAGATAATACAGTACTCAGAAAATATATTCTCCATCAAAAACCTGTTCTAACCCCTCTGAAGAAGTCCTCTGCCCACCACAAAGAAGCCAGGAAAGATTCTATCACCATTATTTATGACTAAAGTGATCATTTTGGTTCTGCAGATACTTTGTGCTTATAAGAACCTGCTTCTCCCTACCTGCCCCTTCCGTCTGGGGATACTCCCCTATGCTATTTAAATAGCTGATCTATTTGAGTTGGTAACTTCAAGATGCTAAATGAAACAAATTTTAAAAAAAACAATACCAGCAAAAAGATGCAAGATCACAGGCTCTCTTTGAGGAGAAAGAAAAGGCATCACCATGGACAGCTCAACAAAGATACTTATCTAGAGCATATCTGCATATCGCCTTCAGAAAGAAATTCTGAAATTGCTTAAACAACATCATGTTTCAGCTGCATCCAATTTTGATTACCTCACATTAGGATAACAGCAAGATTCAGGGAATAGATATAGATTTGCCAAAGAGGAAGCCCAATGCTACAGGTTACAAAGCCAGCGTTGTACAACCCAAAAAGAAAGGGTTAGGGTTTGTCTGGAGGGAGGATGCTCCCTCACACAGCTCCCACCATGAAGTACAGCTATAGCACCCCTGCTCTCAAACTGTGGAACTAGAGTGATAATTTAGTTTAGGTTAGAGCTACAAACCTCAGTGAAGGTTGTCCGTGTCGATCAAGCATCAGCTGCTGACAGATTTAGTGTCATGCTATACAGACATTCTGATCTAATATGGAAAACACAATTCTCTAACATCTAATAAAGTGATCAATTCCATACCAGAGCTCAGGATCGCATTTAACAACCCGTGAAAGCACACAGAAAGCTTTAAATATCTGCTGAGTGTTTTTACCCAGTAACTCAGCTATCTGTAGCACTCGTGTCAGCTAGAAAGGAAGCTTCCTGAGATCAGCTTTACACAGCACCTTCTCCAGCATGAAAGCCTCCAACTAGGTTAGGAGTTAACCTAGGAGTTAACTTGGGAGGTTAGGAGTTAACTCCAATTGGTTATTGGAGTTAACCAATACTAGGTTAGCTGGTATTCCTTCTTCGGCTGCTTAAGAACAAAACACAAGTAGTCCTATACGTACTGTATTGCCAACACTGCCAAAAAAAAAAAAAGCAAGATAAAAATGAAAATAGTCTCACACACAGAGCGGTTCCAACACATTATTTCTGTAAAACTGTCTACACTGGCCCAACTGCGCTTTAGTGGTACCAGGAACTTGCTTAATCACCATTCACTTACACTTGTTCTATTAGTTTGGGTCCTAAAAATTTATTTTGAACAAAAAGGGCATTCCAAAGCTGCCATAAGAACTTCACCAGCCCAGCTTCCAAATTCACACGAGTCAGTAACGCCAAGGAGCAAACTCCCCGTTAACGCCTCGGGAGAACAGCTTCCCGACCTGCAACCCCACTGCGGGCAGCCCCGCGCTTGGCTATGGATCATCCTTGGCACGAACACCACGCTACGTGACCGTCCCCTCCGGCCCGAGTCTGAGGGACTCCCCTGTGCGTGGTGTTTGGAAAAGCAGTCTGCAACCGAACACTGGTAATTTCTCAAAAGTTAATCAGTTTAATGTTTTAAAGCAACGAGACTGTCACCTACCATCCAAACAGAACTTGGGAGAAAAAAATATATATATACACATGTATATATATTTTGCCCTACTAATAAAGAACAGAGATGAAATGCAGCACCATGATCTAGTTTTTATCTTTCCTTCCAGTTTTTGTATTGTTGGCTTTGGGCACTGGCTCTTGCCTCCTTCCCATCAGAGGAAACACCCCCTCCTTAACGACGGGTGGCTACTGTGTTAAATAACTACTTTTTTATTTAAAATGAGAGTTAGGGGGAAAAAAAAAAAAAAAAGGCAGTTTTTTTAAGTTCATAACCAAGATGTTTGTCTTAACGGACGTTCAAGTTGTTCACCGAGAGGAGCGCCAGCCAAAGCCGGGATGGGGGTCGCACCTTTCGGGCACAGCTAAGGGGTGTCTGAAACGCGCCCCGCGCCCGCGCGGCCGAGCGGGCCCCGCCGCCCCCGGCCGAACCGGCCGCGGCCCCGGGAGCCGCCGCTGGAGGGGCCGCCGGGCCGGGCCGGGCCGGGCCGAGCCGAACCGAGCCGGACTGGGCCCTCCCCCCCGGGCCGCCCCCCTACCTGGCCGCAGCGGCTCGGTGATGCTCAGCACGAGGAGGAAGAGGAGGAGGAAGGTGCCGCTGTCCGCTTTGGGCACCATTTATCCTCCGTTCATCCTCCCCCGGCGCAGCGCCACAAACCCGCGGGGAGGGGAGCGCCGGGAGGCGGGGGGGAGCCGCCGGAGGAGGGGCCCGCTGGGGGGCCGCCGCCGTGCGCACGGGGCTCTTCCCCCCGC